CATCGCTACAGTTTTGGTACCAGTTCAGATCCAAAACCAGAAGGGATCTGTCTAATAATTCTGCATAAAATTTCCCCAGAATCTCATATAAACAAACCTTCTCATAAAATTTTAGCTCAAGATGATAGAAATCTTCTGATAACAGTTGGCATGGTGAAATGTCTTCCATTTTGACTCCAAATTTCATAATATTTCTGTACTCCTGACTCTGAACCCTACTCATGACTTGTTTACCAGAACAGATCTATATCCAACTCCCTCCTCCTGGCCAAACTGTTAAATGCAAAATGTATGAGACTCCTAAAGTCCATAAAAAGGGAGTATGTATGTATTTGGAAGGAAGAGGAGAAAAACATTAAACTAAGAATTGTCCGGTTCCATTTTAAAAGCTATCTAAGGAACAATCAGCTCCTTCATACAGCAGCCTGGTGTCCTGTCTAAATCAGGAAATGTCTGATTTTATTTTTAACTGCAGAGCAGTGCCCTGGCTCCTTTGTGAATGTCTAATACTAATGTTGGCTGATACACATGAGATAAATAAGTGAAGCCTTTTTAAAGTCATAGCTAGGATTGCTATCAATCCAGTATTGACTCCTGGTATTCAGAGAACATTTCAGCATGACTTTTTTTGTACACGTTGACAGTTTTTGCTTGTGTTTGGAGCAGAGCTTTGTATTATGAGAATTAGTATGCAAAATCAGCAATTTGTATTGTTTGGGCTGTGTTTGTCTCCCATCACAAGTTCCTGTCTTTTATGCTGTTTGCTCTGTGCTGGTTGGCACTAATGCTCTCCAAATCTCAGCATGGGCTAGCTCAGCAATAAATTGGAAGGTCATAGTCCTTTCCTCTTTCGCATTCTCTCCAAGTCTAAATAACTTATATTTAGTGAAAGCTGAGAGACCATATCGGACAAAGTTTATACACAAGTAGAAATGAGCAGATCTGTGGTTTTATGTTCTGCAAATCAACACTCACTATTATTTGAATATTTTTATGGGTGCTATACAGATATTAAAGAGAATAAGGTCCTGCCCTACGATATTTACAGTCTCATGTGGCAAAGATAATACAATGAGAAATGATAAGTGTGGACAGGAAAGAAAAGAAACAAAAAGGAAAAAAATTCTGTTATTGGGAGAATATATAGGGATCCTCATTTTAATTTAGCTTGCCTGCACCTAAGAAATTACAGTCTGTCTTTATCAGTATTGTAAAGTACATGCACATTGTGAGAGTTATCTGGTGCTTTGTGGGGTTGGATCCATTACAGGAGGTTTCTGTAGTTTATAAGACTCTTGTGTTGTGGAATGATTAAGGGACTGAATGGGATACAAATAGAGTATGAAAAGATTGTCTTGTTTTGTCTTCCCCTCACCCTATTATATTTGTGTATGCTGCAGCATTTTTTTATTCTAGTTCCTTTCATGCTTTCTTCCTTTCAGTTGAGCAGAGCAGCAGAGAATGCTGACACCTGGGAATCAGTTGGGTTGCCTTAACAACAATTAGGCAGAAAACTCAGGGGATAATTGCCCTGATTTACTTTTGCAGTGTTGTGGTAGCAATGTTGATCCCAGGATATTAGAGAGACAAGGTGAGTGAGGTAATATCTTTTATTGGACTAAGTTGTTAAGAAGGCAGAATCTGGGACCAGTCAGAACAGGAGATGGGCCATTAAAAATAGTTCCTGGGTTTGAGTGTGGGTAATTTAAACACTGGAAGCTTCAGGTGGCCTGAACCTGAATGCTAAGATCCATGTGTTGGGGCGAAACCTGTGAGGAGAGCATGCTGAAGACTCGGTCTGAAAAACAGCAATTTTGACTGTGGCTTTGTGTTTGCAATGTTTTGTGCACATCCTTTTCCATCTCACAGAAGGATCAATAAAACATTTGTTTAACCCTTGAGAAAGTGAGGTACCTGTGAGTCTGTTTATGAAAGTTAGATCTACCCCTGGAGCAGGGACGGCAGGTTTGTATAATTTTTTGTGGTGCCCAGAACGAGACCAAGTCCCAGCGCGCCCCCCACACACACACCTACCTAAGGCTCTGGGAAGGAGTTTGGGTGTGGGAGGGGGTTTGGGGTTCAAGCTATGGGAGGAAGTTTGGGTGTGGGAGGGGTGCGGGCTCTGGGATGGAGTTTGGGTGCTGGGTGCGGGTTCTGGGCTGGGACAGGGGGTTGAGGTGCAGGAAGGGGTGTGGGAGGGGGTTTGGGTGCTGGGTGTAGGTTCTGGGAGGCTGTTTGGGTGCTGGATGTGGGCTCTGCGCTGGGACAGAGGGTTGGGGTGCGACAGGGGGTGTGGGGCTGGGCCGGGGATAAGGCGTTTGGGGTGCAGCAGGCAGGCTGCCCCAGGGCTGGGGTGTGGGGGTCCAGAGAGGAGGACTCCCCTCAGCCCTCTCCCCGCTGGCAGCAGCGAGCTCGAGGAGAGAGGGGGGCCCCTCCAGCTCGACACTCACCCAAGCCCCCCCCCAGGCTGTTGCTCAGGCGGTCCAGCCAGAATAAGCCCCTTCCACCCCCCAGAGTCGACTCAGTGTTGCCTGCTGGGGGGGGGAGGGGGAAGGGCTGCCATGCACCTCCTCCCATCCTCACTCTGCAGGCGCAGCAGCCGCCTCAGCCTGCCCCTGGTGCCGCTCCCTAAGTTGTAACTGGCAGCAGCCAGCGAGGGAGCGCAGCGTGGAGCTGCAGGGGGCAGCCGCCTGCTGCCCAGGGCAGGCAGGGACAGTCGGGGGAAGTGCGCGGGGGCGGCAGGTGGGACCGGGGGAGAGACCCAGCCCTGAACATTGATGAAGCCGTGCCCCCGCAGGCCCTGAATTTGCTGGAGCCTGGGCACCACGGCCCATATAACTCGCCGCCCCTGCACTGGAGGACTACCTGTGACATATGGTACTAGATAAGAAATAATTAATATAAATCATTATCACACAAGTTTGACACTGCATTCATAGTATCAGAGAGGTAGCCGTGTTAGTCTGGATCTGTAAAAAGCAACAGAGAGTCCTGTGGCACCTTTAAGACTAACAGATGTATTTGTTAGCCAAATAGGGCCCGTTTTCCCCCCTGAGCTTACCTAATTACACCAAGGAGGCACGGAGAGACAAGAAGACGGGTACCAGGTTCTTTATTAATCGATCAGCTGAACGGGTGCTCTCATCGGCTAATGCCAGAGGAGAGACACACCTTACATGGCCGAACAGGCCCTTTTAGTAACCAGTAACAAACAACTTAGCCTTCATTCTTTTGCGTCATTACGCTGACCTATAGATAATAGGTTACACAGGATACATATATTATTTTGGGGAGGGGGATACAAGAGACATCTGTTGCGGATACATTTATCATTTTGAAGGGAGAACAAGGTACATTCCTTGACCCTTTGCACTAAATACCTTGGGGATATATGGAGAAACAGCTGCATATACTTGTGAGCCAAGTGAGCCAATTAAATTGGTTAACAAATAGCTGACATGGTCAAATGCATGTTTAAATACATGTCCTTAATTTTATTTAGATCTTTAGGCCCTTTCCATCATAGTGGAGCATAAGCTTTCGTGGGTGAATGCCCACTTCGTCGGATGCATGTAATGGAAATTTCCAGGGGCAGGTATAAATATGCTAGCAAGAATCAGTCTGGAGATAACGAGGTTAGTTCAATCAGGGAGGGTGAGGTCCTCTGCTAGCAGTTGAAGTGTGAACACCAAGGGAGGAGAAACTGCTTCTGTAGTTGGATAGCCATTCACAGTCTTTGTTTAATCCTGATCTGATGGTGTCAAATTTGCAAATGAATTTGCAAATGAATCAGGAGGTAAATAGTATCTTATTATTTATAGGACAGGATTATTATGAAAGAAATCTTCCTATAAAAATAACTTATGTATGTAGTAATATTATAAATTAGTGCCAGCTTAGTTAAGATATAACACTCAGTGAAGATGTTTCACATATCTCTAAATAACAAAGTCCATTCATCCATCAGTACAGTAGCTATGCACCATAAGTGCTTTTTTTCAGTAACGAACAGTAGAATTGAGGAAATGAGCTATTGGAAACAAGAAAAGAAACTTTTATGCATAGTGTTTTCGGATATGTGATTATTTTAGGAACAAGATTGTTGGGCAGTGTTTAATGTTTCAGAAAATAACTTGATTCCGAAACAAGCAAACCACAGAACTAGACTCAGTTTGGCTTTTGGAATGCTTTTTTTGCATGAATATTTCAGGCAGGAGTTGACTCATGATCTAGAGGGTGGTTCTGTGTGTTCACTGATGATAATCAAGGTCAAAAAAGATTATCCCTCCGTAGTCAGTATTCCTAGTTTAATGGCCTTGCTACCATAACTACTACTGGTTCCATAGTATAGAATGAGGCTTACAGGTTCATTCAGCATGGTTGTAATGCAGATATTACAGTAAAGGTAAGACTAGTGGGAACCATCATTTCTGAATCTCTGTTTTTCACAAGGTGTTCTTTGTTTTCCTCAAGACTTTTGCAGTTAGTCCATTTTCTATGTGGGTAAAAGATGCCCACATCAGCCAGCATGTAACTTTCAGAGCCAGATATATGTTACAGGATTGATGTTACTATTTTTAGACTGAGAGTTCTGAATTATTGTGGGTGAATCAGTGACATTTCTAATTTTATCAAAACATGTTAACCACTTCAGAAAGCTTTGTTTCTTCCATCCAAAATCATCTACTTGCTGAGCTGGGAACTCTCTTGCAGGAGATAGCTATGCAGCAAAACTCTAATCTCAATTACAATAAGGAATAACTGCACTGAAATCAGTGGAGTTTACATTTAAACCATCATAACAAAAAGCAGAATCTGACCCATGATATTTAAAAGCTTCAGGGAGCTGTAACCTTAATAATAAATGGATGCTAATAAAAGGCATTACACTGGAGGGCGATTTTTCTAACCAGTTTACAGGCATTAATTATTCTACCATACAACAACCTTTTATTAATGAGTTGCAAAAATTAAATTGGTTCTTCTTTGATTGTTTCCAGGTGACTTGAGGCCTGTTTCTATGCCTACAGAGTTCAGCTGGATAGGGGAGTCAAAAGAACCAAACATGTACAAGAGAGGCAGCCGAGGTGAGTACCTTCTCCACTGCTGTGATCCAAGATTTTTCAATCTGTTCTTTAAAAGAGATGAAAATGTGCATCACAGACACCTGCTGTAATTCTCATGAGTGCAATGGAGAGTACAGAAGAGTCTGTCTACTAACTGTCTTGTTACTTCTGCTTTCCTGAAAATTAAAATAAAATTATGTCAGCTAAGGTGTTTTATTCTCTTTAATTGTAATAAACAACAAAATACCTTTCCAAATGCCCGAGTGACTATATGGCTCAGATAATTGCTAATGGTATATAAAACTTTTAAATATATTCATTCAGTATGATTCCATACCCACATTATACAAACTGGTGTACTTAGAGTCCACTTTGATGAGTATTTTACACCTAGTCATGAAACTGCAACATCAAGGCTCAGTCTGGCAGTCACTGAGTGTTCAAGCTGCCACTGATTTCAGTTTTGGAGTCACAAGGATTCAGGGCTGGGCCTTTGGGAAGAAGGCTGGTGGTAGAAATAGTACCAATAGCTAAAAGAATGTATTTGTCACAATTCAGCTTTGATTGGTGGTGGATAAAACTTGCCGACTGTTCCTCATCTCTCTTAGCTGTTAGTGGTAGGGTGACCAGATGTCCCATTTTTAATGGGACAGTCCAGTTTTTAAGCCCTCCTGCAGATGTCCCGACATTTTCTTAAAAGTGGGCAAATTGTCCCATATTTTCTGCCTCCCCGCCATGAGTACCGGTGGGTCCAGCTGCTGGCTGGATCCCTGCTCACCAGCTGCCCGCCCACCAGCAGTGAGTGGGGCAGTCCAGTGACTGATGATGGGGATGGGTGTGCAGGGTTGGCGGTGAAGCGAAGCTGCAGCGTGCGGGGCTGGGCCGCTCCCCCTGCCAGTCTCTCAGCGAAGCCCCTGCTGCGTGTGGGCTCTCAGTAGGATTGACAACTTTCTAATCGCACAAAACTGAACACCTTTGCCCCGTTCCCTGCACTGCCCCTTCCCCGAGGCCCCACCCCACCCCTTCTCTGAGGCCCCACCCCTGCTCACTCCATCCCCCCTTCGTCACTCACTCTCCCCCACGCTCACTCACTTTCATCAGGCTGGGGCAGAGGGTTGGGGTGTGGGAGGGGGTGCGGGGCTCCAGGGTAGGGCCAGAAATGAGGGGTTTGGTGTGTGGGAGGGGGCTCAGGGAAGGGACCAAAGGTTGGGGCGTGGGAGGGGGTGAGGGTTATGGGAGGAAGTTTGGGTGCAGGAGGGGGTTCAGGACTGGGACAGAAGGTTGGGGTGTGGGAAGGGGATGTGGGGTGCAGGCTCTGGGAGGGAGTTTGGGTGTGGGAGGGGGTTCTGATCTGGGGCAAGGGGTTGGGGTGCAGGCTCTGGGAGGGAGTTTGGGTGTGGGAGGGAGCTCAGGCCTGAGCCGGCACTCAGGGCGGGGGCAGCACGCTGCCCCCCAGCCGGAGGGACATGTTGCCGCTTCTGGGAGCCGCGTGGAGCCGAGTAGGGATGGGAGCCTGCTTTTGCCCCACTGCGCTGCCGACTGGACTTTTAGCAACCCGGTCAGCAGTGCTGACTGTAGCCACCAGGATCCCTTTTCGACTGTGCGTTCCAGTTGAAAACCGGAAGCCTGGCAACCCTAGCTCTCAGCCAGCAGGGCCCCGCCCCCCATCCCCTTTCTAGCTGGCACTGGCTGCACACTGCGAGCTGCGGCATCCGATGAGTGCCAGGCGGCAGCTGGTTAGGTATCACCTCTGCTGCCCACCCATTGGCCCCTTATGTGCTCCTCCTCTGGCTTTGCCCCTTCGTCCCCTCCTCAGCCCCGCTGCTCCTCCATATCCCCACAGCGGGTGCGTCCTGCTCCCAGTGCTGAGCAGAGAACCAGCCCCTGGTCGGAGCATTCAGCTCACCAGCAGCCTCGGTTCCTTCCTTCCTCCACTGCCTCTGCCTGGGGTGGCACCTGGGAAAGCCCAAGACCCTCTGGCCCGGGTTGCTGGCCTGGAGGAGCCAAGCACTGCATGTGCCAAAGCCCCACGCTAAGCTCTGAGTGGTGGGGGGAGAAACGATTTCCAGCCTGTAGGCTCCACAGCAGCCCCTTGGGCAGGGGCTTAGCACCCTCTTTGCCTGTCCCCACCCCCACCACCCTGGGTCCTGTCCCCAGGGAGCATGGGGCTGCTCCATCCCCTAGGCACCCTCCCCTGCTGAGCCACCTCCCTGGCCAGGCTCTGTGGCTGCTGAAGGCATGGAGGGCGGAGAGCATGGGACAAGGAGGATCAGTCAGTCGGTCACCCAACCCTCCTCCGCGTGTGAGAGTGGGATACGGGTGGGTGGGTGTGTCACATCTCCCCATGTGTGTGTCGGGGGAGGGGGGTAGCAGTGTGTGTGTCACCCCTCCCTGTGTGAACCCTAAAGCCTTAAAGATAAGAAGGTAAATAAAAATAATCCAACTACGCAGTATTTCTGTTTAATGGGGCTCAGTCAACTTGATGTTAATTTGCATATTTGTACTGCATAGTTCTGATTGATTGCCACTGAACTCACTTGAATATGAGTAATTTTACCAGGCATCCCATATTCAGCAGAGGGAAGTATGGTCACCCTAGTTAGTGCCATATGTGAATTGTACTAGTAGTGTCTCAACATTGTATTGGGAAGCCTGTATGGCTTGTGCCTGTGATGTAGCACTATCTCTGAACTGCATTAGTTGGATGCCCATGTTGTTCAACTCTATCTGATTCCAAAATTGCTATCATTATAGTGCTTCTTTGAAAACATTTACAGATACGTATTTGACAAATAAACAAGGAGGCTGTAAAAATCAGTTCTAGTCTTCCAGGTAAATATATTTTAAAACTAGTATCTATAGACTTTCCCAGGCCTCTAATCTGTTACAAGAAATGTGAAACTTCTACAGAAGACTGACACTATTAATCAGCTTCTTAAAGTATTCCCAAACATATTGAGTACATTTCTGCTTCACCTTTCTTATGGAGTGTATTGTAAAATGCATTAAAAATAAAACAGGTGTCTAGTATTGTGACCTAATGATATTACCCTGCACTGCCATGTAAGAAAAAAATTAAAGTTTCCAGGACTGCTTTCTTATTCACTGGAAGGGCGTACAAGTTCTGTGCATACAGCAAACTCAGTTCCTTGGGCAAAGGAGAGGGAAATACAGGGAAGTGTCTTGCATGGCTCATCAACAACCTCTTTTCATCATTAAGAATCAGTGATAATGTGCTCACCACAGCTCATAAGAACAACCATACTGGCTCAGACCAATGGTCCAACTAGCCCAATACCCCATCCCTGACAGCAGCCAGTGCCAGAAACTTCAAAGGGAATGGACAGAACAGGGCAACTTCAAGTGATCCATCCCATTGTCCAGTCCAAGCCTCTGGCAGTTGGAGGGTTAAGGACACCCAAAGCATAGGGTTGCGTTCCTGACTATCTTGGCTAACAGCCATTGATGGACCTATCCTTCATGAACTTATCTAATTCTTTTTTGAAGCCAGTTATATTTGTGGCTGTCACAACATCTCTTGGCAACGAGTTCCCAAGTTGACTGCATTGTGTGAAAAATTTCTTCCTTTTGTTTGTGTTAAATATGCTACCTATTAATTTCATCAGGTGACCCCTCAGTCTTATGTTCTGTGAAGGGGTAAATAACACTTCCCTATTCACTTTCTCTGCATCATTCATGATTTTACAGACCTCTATCATATACTCCCTTAGTCATCTTTTATCTAGGCTGAACAGTCCCAGTCTTAATTTCTCCTCACATGGAAGCTGCTCAATACCCCTTATCATCTTCATTGCCCTTCTGTGCATCTTTTTACAATTCTAATATTATTTTTGAGATGGGGCAACCAGAACTGAACACAGTTTTCAAGGTGTAGATGAACCATGGATTTATATAGTGGCATTATGATGTTTTCTGTTTTATTATCTATCCCTTTCCTAATGGTTTCTAACGTGCCAATGCACATTGTGGCTAGTTCTCTGAAAACATATGCTCAATGACTACAAGATCTCTTTCTTGTGTGGTTACAGCTGTTTAGATTCCATCATTTGTATGTATAGATGGGATTATATTTTCCAATGTGCATTACTTTGCACTTATCAACATTGAATTTAATCTGCCATTGTGTTGCCTAGCCACCCACTTTTGCCTAGTCTCTTTTTGTGAGATCCTTTTGTAACTCTTCACAGTCTACTTTGAACTTAACTATCTTCAATAATTTTGTATCATCTTCAAATTTTTCACCTCATTGCTCAACCCCTTTTCCAGACCATTTATGATCATGTTGAACAGCATAGGTCCCAGTACAGATTCTTGCTATTTACCTCACTCTCTTGTGAAAACTGACCATTTATTCCTATTCTTTGTTTCCTATCTTTTAAGCAGTTACTTTCCTCTTATCCCATGACTGCTTACTTTACTTAAGAACCTTTGGTGATGGACCTTGTCAAAGGCTTTCTCTAAGTATATTATACCCACTGGATCAATCTTGTCCACATGTTTTTGACACCCTCAGGAATTCTAATAGATTGGTGAGGCATGATTTCCCTTTTTAAAAAAAATGTTGACTCTTCCCCAACAAATTGTGTTCATCTATGTGTTTGATCATTTTGTTCTTTACTATAGTTTCAACCAATTTGCCTGGTACTGAAGTTAGGCATATCGGCCTGTAATTGCTCGGATTGCCTACAGAGCCTTTTTAAAAAATAGGTGTTACATTCGCTTCTCTCCCGTCATCTGGAACAGAGGCTGATTTAACTGATAGGTTACATACCACAATTAGTAGTTCTACAGTTTCATATTTGAGTTCCTTTATAACTCTTGGGTGAATGCCATCTGGTTCTGGTGACTTATTACTTTCAATTTATCAATTTGTTCCAAAACCACCTCAATTGATGTCTCAGTCTAGGACAGTTACTCAGATTTGTCACCTGAAAAAGAACGGTTCAGGTGTGGGAGTCTTCCCAAGATCCTCTGCAGTGAAGATTGATGCAAAGAATTCATTTAACTTCTCCGCAACAGCCTTGTCTTCCTTGAGTGCTCCTTTAGCACCTCAATTATCCAGCTCTTTGCAATGGGTCTTTGTCTGAATGGCTGGAAGAAAAGAAGTTGTTGATCCTTTAAGGGTTCACTTGGCAAGTGATAGCAGAGGGCGAGGGTGGGGAAAGTTTACACAGAGGGATGGAGTATGGAAGAGCAGGAGAGCAGGAAGCAGCTGGACTTGGGGTGGGGATGTGAGGCACTGCCCTTTCTGCTGATGAAGAGTGAGTGTTGGATTTCTACCCTATGCCATGCTGGAGAAGCCCTCTTTCACTCAGATCAGCACCCACCTTCCCACTCATAAAATCTGTAAAAGGACCATGTTTCTTCATAACCCCCTATGGACATTATGACAGTAACCCTTCTTTCCTTGGGAGCTGGGAAGGAATTTTTTCCTCACCACACATTAGCTGAGGTGGGGTGTGGTTTGTCACCTTTCCCACAGCAAGTCTGGGACCTGGTGGGGTGGTGCAGAGGGGTTAGGTTATAATGTAAAACTCATGGCAGATGTCCAGTGCAGGTACTCATTATAGAATGGAAACAGTTATCGGGTAAAATGGATTGGAAAAGTATTTGAAGGAGAGCATTTCATGAGGAACAGGGATTCGGGGCTCCTATATCTAGTACAGTGGGGATCCAATCCCATTTCTGTTTTGCTAGTCCCAGCTAAGGGAGCTTAGGAAAGGGGATTCAGGGCTCCTACCTCGAGTGCAGCAGGGGAGCTGACCCCTCTCCTTTTTTCTAGTCTCCCTTTAAAACTCATGCCAAGGAAGTCACAGCAATGGGGTGCCTGCAGCCTGGTTGGGGATGATGTGGAAATTATTACGGAAATGATGATGACCTGCACTGGACAATTTATTGCAGGGTATTGCCAAATATATTTTAAGTGAATAAAGTTGTGGCCTAATTAAACCATATCCATCGCCTTCTGTCTTTCTTCCGCTGTGTCTGAGGAATATGCTTCAAGTGAAGATCTGTTCAAATCCTCTTTGGCAAGAATGATGGTGATTGTGATGTTGAGCTTCAAAGATTCTTTAAGTCATGAGTGCAGTATAATTATCTAGATAGAAAATAAGGAGTCTCTCGGACACAGGATTTCCATTATCATAAATGGAGTTTCTGCATGTAGAGGGCTCACAGGAGTGAGAAGTAGCTGTCTGTAGCTTAATGAAACTCAAGGATATAATTGAAAGCTAATATAAAAAGTTTAAAAATACTTTTTGATAATATTTTTCAATTATATTTAACTTCTTCCATTCCAAAATACAATTCCTATTTAACTCTGCAAAACTCTTAATTTTCTGTTCATTCATACTAGCCCATGATTTCATACCAGTATTTGAAAAATTTTCCTATTTTATTATAAATATTAACATTTAATTTTATTTATCTAAAATTTTACTTGTTCTGAAATTATAAGTAAAGACGTGATTGAGCTAAAAATATCTGACAAAATACAGCATCCAATCAGATCACTCAAGATTTTCAATCCATATTATTACTGTATATTAGGAGTCTAGTGTTACTTTTCTTAAAATCAATATCAAAACTCCTGTTGACTTCAGTGGAAAGAGGTTAGGACTAGAGCTCTGGGAGGGGAAATGTATTTTCTGTTCCATGGGAAATCCACAATTTCAAAAAAATTTCCATTCCAAAATGGAACAGCAACAACAAAGTTCAAAATATCATTGAAATGAAATTCTGAAAAAAAATCATCTGGGGTTGATCAAAACATTTTGTTAAATAAAATCAAAAATTCATTCCTGTTTTGACCTTTTTATATTTTTTTTAATGTTTTATATAACTATTTAATTTTGTTTCAAAAAATCATATCAAAAACATTCTTAAAATGTTGAAATAGGATATTTTGACATTATTGAAATGCTTTGGTTTTTTTTAAACAAAATTTTCTCAAAATTGACACATTTTCTAAATGTTTTCATGTTGATAAAAACATCATTTTAAGTTGAAAAACAGTTTAGATGAAAATTTTCTAGTTTGGACCCTCACATTAATCATGTACACTTCAAATAATTTATTAATATGTTGCTAAATAAGAACCCAATCCTTGTGTAGAAGAGCATTGACTTCAGTGGATCTATGTGCATTTGTAAGGCCACTCATGTACAGTAAATAAGATTAACAGACCCCTGATGATAAATTACTTTTAATATATGAATTGACACTTTATTTATTGGTGATCAATTTAACTGTACATAGACAGCACCTATTATTGGTGTACAACTGTGGGCATGTAGAGTGAAACCCATCAAAAATCCCCTTTTCTATAAACTGTACCAATAAAATCGTTTGTATTAATAAAAGGGGGGGTTTATGGTAGATGACAAATTCAATATGAGTCAACAATGCAGTGATGAGGCAAAAAGCATACCAGCTAAGCATCAGTTGGTGTACCCATTCAGTTTTGGGCACGGTTTTAAAAAACAATGGATAGCAATGAAACTGTCAAAAGATTTGAAAAATAAGACGTGAGGAAAAATTAAGAAATGTGCAATGTTCATTTTAGGGAAAAGAAGATTTAAAGGAAATATGGTAACTTTCTAGAAATATGCTCTTTAAAGCAATGCTATGAAGTGGTTAGGGCTATATTAAATTCATTTACAGTGAATCTCAGAGTTACAGACACCTTGGGAATGGAGGTTGTCCGTAACTTTGAAATGTTCGTAACTCTGAACAAATCACAGTTCCGGTTGCCTACCTTTAAGATGCAATACAGGCACAGTACAGTGTTTGGTTTTTCTTTGTTGGGTGGTTTTTTTGGGGGGTGGGAGGGGAGGGTCTCTGCTGCTGCCTGATTGGTTACTTCTGGTTTATTCATAGATTCATAGATTCTAGGACTGGAAGGGACCTCGAGAGGTCATCGAGTCCAGTCCCCTGCCCGCATGGCAGGACCAAATACTGTCTAGACCATCCCTGATAGACATTTATCTAACCTACTCTTAAATATCTCCAGAGATGGAGATTCCACAACCTCCCTAGGCAATTTATTCCAGTGTTTAACCACCCTGACAGTTAGGAACTTTTTCCTAATGTCCAACCTAGACCTCCCTTGCTGCAGTTTAAGCCCATTGCTTCTTGTTCTATCCTCAGAGGCTAAGGTGAACAAGTTTTCTCCCTCCTCCTTGTGACACCCTTTTAGATACCTGAAAACTGCTATCATGTCCCCTCTCAGTCTTCTCTTTTCCAAACTAAACAAACCCAGTTCTTTCAGCCTTCCTTCATAGGTCATGTTCTCAAGACCTTTAATCATTCTTGTTGCTCTTCTCTGGTTTCACATGGTGTCCAGTTGACCGATCAGTCCATAACTGTGGTGTTCGTATCTTTGAGGTTCTCCTGTAATATGGAAAGAACAAGAAGTACTGAGGTTAAATATATGGGGAAGTATTTTCTAACATTGGATAGTGGAAGATATTTTGAAGGGATTTGGTGGATTTTTCATTATAGGACTCATTCACACTTAGATCAGACATTCGTAGGATTTTTCAATTCAGGTAACTTTAATAATTAAATTCTGCCTTTGGAAGCACAGATTTCATATGCAAAGATTTCAGTGGGAGCGCCATACAAAATAAATTAATTATGCATATTCCAGACATAATGATATATACATAAACTATTATAGCTGCAGTGCTTCAAGGATGATGATTAGGATAGGTAGGCATAGGTAGGCATTATGGAATTCAAGAATTCATGAACTATTTTTGAGTTAGAAAATAGTCTGTGTTTGGAAGACTTTTTACTCATAATTTCGTAATTTAAATCCATGGTTTTCCCCCAAGGACATCAAATTATTTTCTTAATTAAAGGGAAACCTACAGTATGTATTAAGGATAGATACTGCACCACCCAACTCCCCATAAAAAGCTACAGTGGCGTGAGTGGGTGGCCTATATAAACAGATAAATATTATTTTTTGTATTCAGTTATTCTCTCATTTGATTAAGTCCTTACTTTCCTAGGTCCATGTGCCCATGTGTGTTTGGTGATGTCATTTTGTTGTGGTTTTGGTGGTGGTTTGTGGGAGTTTTTCCCTTGCCAGAGTTTACAAAGCCTCCCAATTTATGAGTAGTTATTGTTTATATATTGCCATTACACCTAAATCGCACCTAACAGACAAACAAAAGACAGGTTGTTGCCCTGAAGAATTTACAATTTATCTATATATAAAGAGAGGGTTTGCATATATGTTCATGAAAATGGGAACTGCAGGTGCTCTGATAGTTAAATAAGAGATCTGATTTTCACAATCTAAATCTAGATTTGGGGCTTGTTTACACAGTGACATCCAGGAAAAGTAATCTGAATTAACTAGGAGCTTGTCTACACAAACAGTTAGTTCACAGCAAAATGTGGATCTATGCTGTGCTAGCCTGCCATAGACTAACTGTCCATGTGGACCCTACCGGACTGTTAATGCACTTTGATCTAGTCCCTTTCAAAGATGACTAGATCAAAAAGTGTATTAACCAACTGTTAGTGCAGATCAGCAGGGTCCATGTGGAGTCCACAGCAGGACAGTGTGAGGTAGATTCATACCCCGATTTGCCACAAACAAAATATTTGTGTAGACAAATCTTAGAGGTGTGAATTTAAATAGTTAAAACACGTTAAATCCCTGTGTGGATGTTGTTATTCAGAGCTAAAGGGGTCTTAATTTGTCTTATTTTAATTCACTTTGGCAATGAACTAAACTAAATGGAATTAAGGCCACTTCAGTTATGGATGAGGGTGTTCACATAGGGGTTTAATGAGGCTTAACCAATCCACTTCAAATCCCCACCTTTAGTTAATTCAGATTAATTTTCGTGGACATCCCTATGTAGACAAGCCCTTAGTTATTTACATTTAGGCACCCAAATTTGAAAATATTTTCCTTAATATACAATTATTGCTCATTAACTATTTGCACTCTGGTTCGCTGAACCAATTCCTTTTCAACATAATAAGAAATAAACATACAGTGATGGTGCAGATCCAAGGATTCTGGCTGGCTGGGGTGTCGTCATTAATCAGTCAAAGTACAGAAATGGATGGTTTTACGGCTAACACATAGAACTGGAAGTCAGATGATCTGGGTTCTATTCCTAGTTCTTCTGCTGTTTTGTGTGTGTGTGTGTTATTTTCAACAGTTCAAGCATATTTGAACCTAAGCCTTGCATGTGACACCTATGATAAGATTAATTTGGAAAAGGCAGCTTTAAAAAACTGCTAGAAACAGTAATTGACCAAGAAGAGTTTTTCCTGATTATGAAATTTTTCTATCTGGGAGGGCCATTGATTCAAACACTCTGGAGGAACTAGGATGGAAGTCTGTGGAAGCCTATAGAATGATTATTTCCTCCATGCACAGTTATTTTAAACTCAGTTACTGTTCTGATTTACTTGTTAACTTTTATTAATTACTGTTGATTCAAGTACAGCAAGCCATACTTTTCCAAAACACCAGAACTGGCAGGCATTTCACAGGTGAATCTGCATTATGAAACACAAAGAAAACAAAAATATTTAAAATTTCCTGAAAAACAAAATTAAAAAAACAAAATTAAAAAAACAATTCATACTGACTTTGACTCTTTTTTAATTGTATATTCTAAATTAAAAAATATTGAAATGAAAAGTCATTTCAAAATGGAAAATAGAAACATTCCATTCTCAAGAGGTTGAAATGGAATATTTTGATCTTATCAAAATCCTATTGTCTGTTGTTCTTTATCAAAATCGACATATTTTTGCAAAACATGTCATTTTTGACCTATTTGCATTTTCCAGCAGAAAAACATTCCATCAGAAAACTTCTGACCAGCTCTACAAAATACCCTTCTCAAAATCTTGTAGTCAAATGTCTTCATGACCAACATTCTAGAATCCGCTAGGCAGGATTTTGGATCTGTCTGCTATACAAACCTGCAAAAGAACCATCAGAGAACCTCATTGCTATATGATGGCACATTTGCTTTCATTAGAGTATCTGTGGGCATATATTATGCTGTACTCTAAAATGTACTGAAAGAGTTAACTAAATTGCATAGCCAAAAAAATCAAAAAAGACAGGGCTCCAGAACTGTGCAGCCAAGTGCTGATAAGGGCTTACAGTTTGAGAAAAACTATTGGAATAGGAGTCTCAGTGGTTCACAGTTTTAATGCACAAAGTCCAGCGTATTTGATAATTCAAAAAAAGTCAAGATTTTTTGAGGCTTTGTGCTGTAAATGAAACAGCAGAATCAATTGCTGTTGTCTCCATCTGTTTCCAGAAACAAGGTAATGTGCACTTGTAGTTACTGTGCCATATAGAACAATGGCTTCATGTGGCCCCCTGTATGCTAGTGAACTCTGACTTAGCAAGGACTGCTTTTCTCAAGAGCAGCAAGCATTTTGGATCAAAGGGCTATGAAAGACTGAGATAATAGCTATGTTCCATTTATCAGGTCTTAGTAAAAACATTCTCCAGACAACACCCACGTGAATAAAAGACTGTGGGTTGCAGTCTCCATTTGAAATGTCATATTGCAACTCCCATTATTACCCTATTTAAGGTGCGGCTTTATTTTTGCACAGATGTGTGCTTGAGTGTTTAAGTATAAGTATAATAGCCTGATTATATTTTGTGTGTTTGTTTTGTCTTATTCATATTTCTTTTCTTCTTCCTCCAACAACTGACTCGGAGAATTCACTCCTACGATACCTGAGTGATGACAAGATCTTGGTGATCCAAGAAGAGCCTTTGACACAGAAAGACAACAAGAGAGACACAGGCCGCAGGTCAAGGAAAAAGGGCAAAAACACAAGTAGTCCGAACTATCCAATTAGCCCATCTATGTTAACATCTACTGTTAGCGTTAGGCTGGAACCTGGGCAGCAAGATGTCCTGAATTTCTCATTAGCTGAAAGCAACACTGTTCCACTGTACCACGTAAGTTCATAATAATTTGAAGTTTTAATTCTTTTTTCTTAATACCCATTGGAACTAGGATTGGCACAGCAGAAGTATGATCTTATATCTTACAGTATCATGTTGCATGGCAGGGTTCTACGGTTCATTTTTCACATCCATACCATAAGATACAGAGCTCATCTGAAAACCATCTGGATATTATGAAAAAGTTCAGTCCATAATACAGAGAACACTTGTCCACTATGGGTAGGTCTATATTTGGGACAGCATGTAGACTGCAGACGCTGCTCACCCAACTAGCATGGGTATAAATAGCAGTGTAGAAAGTGAGGCACAGCTTAGGTGAGTATCAGGGCCGGCTCTAGGATTTTTGCCGCCCCAAGCAAAAACAATTTCGGCCGCCCTCTCCACCCCCCCACCCCCGTTTTTTTCTTACCCCACCCCCGGCCCGCCTCAACTCCGCCCCTTCCCCAAATCCCCAGCCCTGCCTCCTCCCCCCAGGCTCTCAAGCCTAGGAGGGAGGGAGGGAGGGGGAGCAGCGGCACGCGAATCAGCTGTTTCGCGCGCTGCGGCCGCTCGGGATCTCCCCCTCCCTCCCAGGTTTGAGAGCCTGGGAGGGAGGCGGAGCAGCGGCGCGCGAATCAGCTGTTTCGCGCGCTGCGGCCGCTCGGGATCTCCCCCTCCCTCCCAGCTTTGAGAGCCTGGGAGGGAGGGCGAGCAGCGGCGTGCGAATCAGCTGTTTTGTGCGCCGTGGTGCGTGAGCAGCAGCAGCGGAGGTGAGTTAGGGCGGCCAGGGCACGTTTTTAGGGGCGGCAGGGGCGGCATTCTGGCGCCGGCCATGCCGCCCCTAAAAATGTGCCGCCCCAAACACCAGCTTGTTTTGCTGGTGCCTAGAGCCGGCCCTGGTGAGTATAGTAGAGAGAGGCCAGTACCCTGCATGGATCTCTGCACACTCAGTAGTGCCTCTCATTTCTACTCTAGTTTTAGCAGTGTAGTGTCCTGGTGCAAGAGCCTTTCCATGCCACAGTGAAAGACTCTGGCAAAGGGGAGGCAGTGAAGGAAGTCTGTGACAACAGCTCCCTCACTCAAAGGTCACATTCTCCTGTATCTTGACTATGGTTAGTGAGTTGTAGTTTTAACATGTTAGATGGTGAAGGTAAAGCATAGACGAGAGTCTAGGGTTTCCTTCAACCAGATAACATGAAAAAATATTAATTGCCTTGTCTTCACTAGGATTTTTGCACATTAGTTGACTTCTATCAGTTAGCACGTTAAAAACACACCTTTATTCCTAGTGAAGACAAGGCCAGTGTGACTCACTTGGTGGGATCTCTTCATTTCCAAGTGGATTGGCTCAATCCCAGACTCTGCTCCCAGGACAATTGATGCCGAACCAGGAGATCTTCAGTTTAGTGTGTAATCATTAGGTGAATCCAATAATGGACTTTTTGCAATATCAGAGAATGTAAGCCTCCCCACGTTCTGAGTTTCTGCAGTCGATACAAGGAGCTCATTGCTTGGACCATGAAAGCATTCTCAATCATAGTGGGTAGAGAGGCATGTCCCCTGACATACACGTTACCTATCTTTTGAGGAAGGTAAAATTGGTCAGAGGATCCCTGACACTAATTGCCTACTCAGGTCGTGATTACTCAGTGCTGTTAACCTTGTTGGCTGGGTCCCTTTGAACCTGCTCCAAATTGCAGATCTGCTGTCCTGAGACCCAGTGGTTCAGTCATTCAAGCAAGCTCTTTCTAAAATCTTGGGGTGTAATCATAGCCCTATTAAGTTTAATGGAGAAATTCAAATGTATTTAAATGGTGTCCAGATTTCACCCTGGAATTTAAGTACAAGGAACATATAAATTGTTATGCTGGATCAGACTGGAAGTCCATCTAGTCCAATATCCTGTTAACAACAGTGGCCAGAACCAGAGGCTTCAGAGGAACATATAAGAATTTCAGAGTATGCCCCCCATAATAGATCTCATACTTACCTTTTGTAGTCAAAGATTGGCTTACTCCCTATAACATGGGGTTTAATATGCCTTCCACAACATTTTTGTTGCTGTTAATTATGGTAACTGTGAATATTCTTGATATTTATATAAATGCCCAGTCTCTTTTCAAATCTTGTTAAATTCCTGGATTTAATGACTTCGTGTGGCAATGAGTTCCATGGTCCAATTACACATTGTGTGAAAAAGTATTTCCTTTTATCTGTTTTGAATTTCTCGCCTTTTTATATTATTGACTGTCCCCTTGTTCTTATATTATGGTGCAGGAAGAACAGGGTACTGCTACTTATAGCCCATTTCAGACTGGTTTCCAGCTTAGCAAAACAGGCATTTTTGTTCTTACCTTTTAAATTGAATTTCTGCAGAGTGAGACCAACAATCTCGAAGCCTCAGCCACATAGATATTGCTCAAATTGTGGTTGTTTTTCCCCCGAGTTATTTGATAACTTTATTTGGATCTATATTAAGTAATCAACTGGTTCTTTAGTCAAGCTGTTCTACATGGGAGGAGGCTAGAACCTGAAAAGCCTAACAACTATTTGGGTGGGGCTCCCTGTTGGAGATAAGGAGGGAGAAGCCCATTTCAGATTGGTTAGCCCACTGTGCAGAAACTCAGTATTCAAGGTAAAACCAAAATCTCCTTTGTTGTACATGTGTCTGAAAGAGAAATTAGTATATATCCAGAGTGGACCACACTCATCACTGATTTAACCTCATTGATATCAGTGAGGATGTACCAGGGAGAAATCTAGCCCTGTGTTAAGTAATGTTGAAAGTGAAGTTACTGTGGCATTATAACTTTTTTTTTTTGTAAAACTATTCTCCCAAAACACTATTTCAGTTAATATATTTTCATTTTATTTAATCTTAACTCCATTACATCTACCTACTTTATCAAATTCCCAATATATTACTCTGAAGTGCTCCAGCAGAGTATTCAGTATTAGTGGACTGTTTTTGTCAGCACAAATAAATACTCTTGCTCACTGAAACTGGGCAAAATGGTTACCTCTGAGACATAATTAAGTTGTTATGCATTGGATTTAGCTTTGTTACACTTCATTAGTCTTGGTAAACAAAAGACATTTAATTCAGACTATAGTGTCTACATGCATGAATATGCAACTCAAAATTATGTTTTTGTTTTCCACTGGAACATGTAATTGTAAAAAATGTTTAGAACCAGAGTGCAAATGGCTTTTGTTTTTATTTTGTTTTGGGGGGTTTTTTTGGGGGGCGGGGGAAATGGTTACCACTTCTGCTCAGATGCAAAATTGACCAGGATATTTTCGAGTAATAAAGAACAGTTATGCTGTTTTGATGTTTGCAAACAGCTATTTCTACCTGGAAAAAAATGACATCAAGGCCTGACCATATGTGCTTGGGCCCAAAGAAAATAATATGAAAGCTTTTCTAGAAGGCTTTGTATTGTGATGTTCAACCATTCACTGGGATTCCACCATATTCATTGTATACATTTCCATCTACCTCATAGCTTAGTGGAAGACTTTGACTGGCCACTATAGAATCATTGAAATGTAGGGCTGGAAGGAACCTCGAGATGTCATCTAGTCCATCCCCCCCATGATGAGGCAGGACTAAGTATACCTAGACCAGTGGTTCTCAACCTACTTATCATTGTGGGCCACATATGCGCGCCCCCCCAACACACAGACCCCTATGTCCAGCACCCGCCCCAACCCAGAAACCCCTCCACAGAGTGGGGCCAGGAGCGGACCCCAGTGCAGGGCTGGGCAGCAGGGCAGCCCCAGGCCCCACCACATGGCAAGGCAGAGCAGCCCCAGGCCCCACCACATGGCAAGGCAGAGCAGCCCTAGTGCCCCGGACCCCACCACGTGGCAAGGCAGCGCTGCCCCAGCAGCCCTGGGCCCCACCACACCGGGCTGCCGTGGCGGCCCAGACCCCAGCCATGCGAGCCCTGCGGCCTTTAGCACACAGCTGAGAACCGCTGACCTAGACTGTCCTTGACAGGTGTTTGTCCAACATGTTCTTTAAAACCTCAACTGACAAGGGTTCCACACCTTTCTTGGTAATTTATTTCTGTACTTTTCTATCCTTAACGTTAGAAAGCTTTCCTAATATTGAATCTAAATTTCCCTTGATGTAGATTAAGTTGATTACTTTCCCCAGTGGACATGGAGAACAACAAATCCAGGATCAGATTTACACGCAGGAATTGGATCCAGTAATGTTACCCAAAGTTCAACAAACTTCCCTGAGGCAGGGTTTTCCACCTTAGATGGACACTCCAAGACCTTTTATGCAACAGGCATATGATATGATGCTGGACTGGAGCAATTGGCAGGACTGGCACATGCCACTTTGGGTGCCTTGGCCATACTGACCAATTCCCACTTATCCTTGCCCTATAAGAAAGTCTGATTGTTTGGTTCCAGATCAAGGACAGCCTAAACCTGTGAATCTGAGGTAATTGGGTCCTATACAATCAGAACCAATAGATACAGAACATTCTTGTAACTTAGTACAAGATACGCTTTTGGAAGAAGAGGGAGATACATCTCCGCCAGTTGAATTTAAAAAACAAGCAATTGAATTAGATAGTGGTTCATCTTTGGCCAAGAATGTAGGAGAGTCTTCTTCAGAAAATGCTATTCAGTTCCATGAACTAGTAGACAGAATAGTGTCAATTTTTAAATAACCATCCTGGTTTTCAAAATATTAGGTTTTACTACAAGAAATAAAACATCTTTGCCAATATTAGAAGGGCTTCAACAACCAGCAAAAACAATCTGGTCCAATCCATCTTCATGTCAGCCAAAAAAGGCTGACAAATTATATCAGATTCCATAAGCATGGTTTTCTTGTTTTCATGTTCACCTCTCTCTGATTCATTTGTTGTGGTACCAGTGCTACAAAGATCGAAGTCCAGGTCTCTTACACTCCACTTCAAATGAAAGAGAAGGAAAAAAGTGAACACTTTAGGAAGAAATTTTTCTTCAGCTTCCTTGAATATGAGAGT